TAGCTCTTGTGCCCCATGCAACCTTTTTTTTTGTCAATTAGAAGAAAGTGTGTAAATATATTTTGCTTGGTGGAGTCTACTGTTTGTTTTATCATTGCTAGAGAGCTTCGAGCTTTCTCATAATCAACAGTCTCCTGCAACCCCTGGCTGAGTTTCCCGAGATAAATTTGATTTTTTATGGTTATCTTTTGATTCTTTGCTTTGGTAAAGTAGCGCCCGGGCTTTGCTTCTTTTGGAATTATGGTAAAATCTTACTTACTTAACTTTACTTAATGTTGATAACGTAAACTTAAAAATAACAACCAGACATAAATTACGTTATTCAAGTTTAAGAAATTAAATAAAATACAATATAAACTCTCAATAATAAAGCCCTTCATAATTATAATACCCTGTATAATATAGATTGTGAATATTGTTGAGTTTGACTGGTCTATTTCTTATCCAAAACGAAGAAATACATCCCCTTTAACAGCAAACATGGCGAAAAAGACTTGCATATGAATAACAAAAACTTTGCTTAATACATGTGTTAGAAAAAGGAATGGAAGAATTTCATGTATGCTTGTTTGTGGGAGATCGTCACACCCTAGAATTATGTTTCAGGGGAAAAATAGCATTAATTTGAGTGTATGTGTGGTGAACAGATGGGCAATGAATATTTGACTTGCTAGGTATGTGTTGGAGAGTAATTACGAGTGGTTTCGATCATTGGAGTCCTTAAGTCTTTTTTGGGGTACTTTGGATAAAGATTATTGTATATTATCAATAGTGAACGAAAAATTTACCAGAAAGTAGACTTAGGAAAAGAATAATTTATTGAGTTACACTTATGGACGAAAATAGTAGAAGTAAAGAAGAACGAAAAGGACCTATAAAAAGTTGGTTTAGAGAGGACAGATAAAGGAGGAAATGAAAATAAGAAAAGCATGCAGTCTGGAGGAAGGAGAAGGACTTAAAAAAGAGACAATAAAAAAAAATGTTAGTGAGATGGACAAATTAGATGTGTTAATGAAATTGATAAAAGAATTAAAAGAAGAAATCCAAGAAAAATAGAAACAACGTGATAAAAAAAACAAAAAAATAGAAAGATACAAAAAAAAAATAAGGGAAAAATGGGAGCATAAACTAGATAAAATGCAGGAAGAAAATGAAAGTATAAAGGAAAAGATGAAATGTCTGGAGAAAAAGACTAGTGGAAAGGTACAGAAACTGGAAGAAAGATTGAACAAATATAATGAAGTAAGCGGAAAGGGATGGTTCAAGAAAGGACAACTTAAAAGAAAAAGTCAAGGAATTGGTAATAGGGAAGCTGGAGATAGAGAAGCAAATACAGAAGTAAGCAGAAGAAAAGAAGAAAGAAATAAGGAGATTAAAAATAGAACTAGAAAACAAAAGAAGGGAAGAAAAAACTGAACCTGATAATCTTTGGAATAGAATAAGAGAAGAATAAAGAAGAAACGAAGTTCGAAAGAGAAGATGGGATTGAAGGTAGATGTGAAGGAAGTCTGGAAAGTTAAAAAGAAGGTATATAGGGCAAGAATGGAAAAGTGGGAAGATAAGCTACAGGTAATTAGAAATTGTAGAGGGGGGGCTTAGGGGGAGAAGGTTTATATAAGAAATGATACGACTATGGAAGAGAGAAGAATACAGAGGATGTTGGAACATATGGTAAGAGAGAAGAGAAGAAAGAATGGGGGTAAGATGGTCAAATTTGGTTATGGGAAGTTAATAATAGATGAGGTGTGGAACCAAGAAAAAGAAGAAACGGTAAAAAGAAAAGGAAAAGGGACATTTCGTTAGAAATAAGAAGGTATGTTGGGGATAATGTAGGGAAAAAGAATAGAAATAAGAATGTAAAGTGTAACTTAACAGTATGATAGATCATTTGTTGGTTGATTGTGAAGTTGCATAATTGTAAAATAACCAGTTTGACTTAATAAAGTTTAAAGAAAAAGGAATGAGAAAGTGATACCACACTCAACCTAATATCGTAGAGTTTTATCATTGTCTAGTATTTAAAATTTTATTCCTATTTACATCTCCCATCCTTAACTATTTGCGAACTGTAATTTAATTTAAGTCTTCCTTAGCCCGTCTTCACTCACATTCGATATCTGTAACAGCCCTTCATGTCTCAGAAGCTGTTCTTCCATCCTATTGACTTACATAACGCCCTCTGCTCCCCAACTTTTTTCAATACCTTCTCATTTCTAATAGCCCGGGGGAGCCCGTATACATTTCACGTAACCATTTTAAGCAATTTCGTTCAGTTTCGACTGAAGTGTCAGCTGGCTGGTAGCGGTGGAGGCGGCTGTTAGAGGGTTAAAAACACGGGAAAAAATTCGTGACATTAAATCATTTTAAGCAACCTGAAACTTTTATAATGAACATTGAACACTGTCAGCTGGCCGGGGAGTGGTGAATTATGTGCCAGTTATGGTCTAAATAGGTCCAAAAACACGAATCAATAGAACCATATTAGTAGTTTGAGGTTCGGGTGGATAATAATCGTGATGAGTAAAACTGGTTTTGGTCTTGGCGAAAATGCAAGAACAAGACTAAGACAAAAACTGTCTTTATACTAGTAAGACCAAGACCAATACCAAGACCAAGACTTAAGGAACAAGACCAAGACTAAAACCAAGACCGAACGAACAAGACCAAGTACACAAGACTAAATGAAAAATTATTACTTCAAATGGATTTATCAGTGAGACTATTTAAGGATGTTTGGGAGGTATGTCAAAACGCTACGAGACAAATAAAAATTTGGAAGAACGTTCCTCATTCAATTCTAAAACTCCTGTAAAAATTACAAATCGATTCACTAAACCGTTAAAAAGTTATTGAAATTTTAAAAAATTGTAATTTTGCAGTTTATGGAGATTCGTTGACCGAACATATTATTAACAGAAAAAAAGCTACCAGAAATTTCAAACTTTTATAATAAGTAACTTGAACTCTGGAGAATCACTTTAGCGTAAGGTTATTCAAATTCACTAAATGGTTATCGAGGAAAAAATGAAAAATTAGCTGAAAATCTCGTTTTTACTTGATAATATAATGATAATATTTATAATTGTCTGAAATAAATGCAATTTTAAANCGTAACGCTTTCCTTAAAAACCTTAGCTTAACTGAACGATACGATTCCTACACGGGTAAATTTGATTTTTGATATACGAAACCACCTAAAATGGTTACATGAAATGTACACGGTCTCCTATAACCATACAACGTTTTCTATCCACGATATTTTCATCATTTACTTCACTTTTACTAACAACCTTTTCGAATTTCTAAATTAACCGTTCGCGAGCGCAGAAGTGACTTCTGCTTGTTAAAAGCAACTCGACTCTCTATTATACAAGCTGTTTTTGAAATAACTAGCAGCTTTCAAAGGTTTTAACTAGATCTAATAAGAAATCGCATGGTGAGAAATGTGTAAACGGATAATAAAATTGTTTGAAAACGAGAAGAAGGTACAGTCTGAAATTGTTCCAGAGTGTAAATTGGCAACATATAGTCAAATTTCAATAATAGCTAAGCAGCCATACAGACGGAGAATGTAAATAATGACAGTTGTGGAATAATTAACGTTCATTATTCTGTTTTAACCTATAACATCGGCACACTGACCTACCGCCAATGACTTCGATTGACTACATACGTTAAAAGAACAAAAAACTACTGACTGCAACAAAAACATTGTCAATCACGCTAAATGTATTAGCCTAACAAATAACAAACAATGCCAGAGTCAGAATTACAAAAGAAATACAGCACGGATGCTGCCAATTACCATTTAATTTCCTCGCGTGGCCCTACCAGGGTCGGACTGGTCCTTACCTGTAGGTGGTTTCAAATACGTTTTTCTCGAAAACGGCGAACTTTTAGACCGCCAAACATTTACTTAATTTTATTGTTTTATAGCACCCTATTACCTCCTGCAAGCTTGCTAGTTATTTCAGGAACACCCCGTATAATAAAAAAGTAAGCATGCTATAAGTACTTCTGAAGTATTTATAAGTATATTGCATGGGGGAATACCAATGAATGAACTTTTTGAGTTCTAAACAAGTAATAAATAAAAAGTAAAAAGTAAAGCAAAAAACAGCATCTTAATCTTGTAATAAAGTAATAAGTAAACTTTTTTGCTGTTTATTTTGTTGTAGCCAAGTTCCTATAGAGTCCTTCCATTTCTATTTGATTTTTACTCTTGCCATACACAATAGGTATGAGTTAGTGGGTTGGCCTTTGTGGACGGTGTACACTTGAATTACGTGGGTCGTATTTTATTTTTTCCTGTTTTCTGTTTAGAAAATAGCTATTAAAAGCTTTCATACCATGGAACNTTCAAATACGTTTTTCTCGAAAAGTTCGCCAAAAATTTACTTAATTTTATTGTTTTATAGCACCCTATTACCTCCTGCAAGCTTGCTAGTTATTTCAGGAACACCCCGGATAATAAAAAAGTAAGAATGCTATAAGTACTTCTGAAGTATCTATAAGTATATTGCATGGGGGAATACCAATGAATGAACTTTTTGAGTTCTAAACAAGTAATAAATAAAAAGTAAAAAGTAAAGCAAAAAACAGCATCTTAATCTTGTAATAAAGTAATAAGTAAACTTTTTTGCTGTTTATTTTGTTGTAGCCAAGTTCCTATAGAGTCCTTCCATTTCTATTTGATTTTTACTCTTGCCATACACAATAGGTATGAGTTAGTGGGTTGGCCTTTGTGGACGGTGTACACTTGAATTACGTGGGTCGTATTTTATTTTTTCCTGTTTTCTGTTTAGAAAATAGCTATTAAAAGCTTTCATACCATGGAACATTTTGAGCAAAGAGAAGCCAAGTTTCTTTGAACTGAATATATTTTTTAAATATACTCCGATTTATCGAGGGAGGGAAACGAAAATGAAATAACAGCATTACTGTTTTTATACATACTCTGAATTTCTGAAAAGCCATAAAAACATTCTTCCTCTAATTACGTTTTTCTCTACGCAAATATTTGAATTATATCTGCTAATACTATGGAAGAGAGAAGAATACAGAGGATGTTGGAACANGTGGTTGATGAAGTGATATTCCCTACGCGAACCCAAAACCTGAAGGAAAAAAAACTCCTTTTATTTCGTAACAAGAGTCAGAGTTTATAAAGCTAAAAATGAGCAAAAGAACTTGCCTAATACAAATTTATAATCCATGATTTTTATCTAAATTTACTATACAAGATTAAAATGACTAGCGTGATTAAATAATGATAATGGAATAATAAATAACATAGACTAACCAAATCATGGTTTAAGGGCGATTATTTCCGACGTAATATACGACGCAGAACCCAAATTTGAATTCGGAATTGCTTTAGCAATTGAAGATTTTAAGATCTCCTAACCTTTAACTTCAAAAAATCCATTTTAGTTTTTTTGAAAATATTACTACGTAGAAACGGCTATGACAGTAGTCACTTCCAAAAAGTATCGTTACTAAATTAAAATATTGCCCAGCCCATGAAGATATTGAGATAGGTACCTTAACCTCAAAATCTGATTGATTATAATAGAACCTAATTTATTTTGAAATTAGAATATCTCGACAATGCGCTTGGGTCCCTTTTTTTATTGTAACTTGTGCTTCGTACCCCGAATGTCCAAGATCCGTAACTGAATTAGAGCTGCAAAGCTGCTCTTGTGGATTCTTCTGCTTTCTGGATATAATCGAATAAAACGGTAAAGTTATTATTTGTACCCTTTGGAAGTTTCATTTCAGCAACAGAGATATTGATCTGGGACCTAACAATAAGTATCTAAAAATAACTTGAAAACAATTTTTTGACCGGAGAGCTGTAGCTGTATCATTTTTTAAGTATTAAGTTATTTGTAAACACAATCATTCGGGTCATTTTGTGGTTTCAGGGCTTTCAAATTGTAATCACCGCTTGCTGTCATTAACCTTAAACGTAGGGGATATCTTAATATCGATGTTGTTTTCAGGGTTGTTTAGCTCTTAACTGGTGGTCTGGCTGAAACTTGAAACCACAGTAAATGATAAGAGAAGATATCACGTACAAAAATAATGAAACGTCAAATGTAATTTTCTATGAAAGGTCATGGGTTATGACAAAAAACGACAAGAATGAAAGTCAAGGTTTCAAAAGAACGTTTTTGAATTAAAGTTCAAGGGAAGAATTTAGATAGAAAAGGATATTGATAAGACATTAATTCTTAATGTAGTTTCCTTACACTAAGATGCAAAAAAATCTTATTTCCTTTACTATAACTATTCTTTATTAAATTTTAAACTACAAGCTTTTGAACTGATCATCTTAAAATATGTGAAAAGACACTATTCTTCCCTTATCTTGGACATTCGCTAAGTCGAAAAATTTAAAATAACTTTAATGTAATGCATGGGCGTAGATAGGTAATCACAAAGGGATGGGGCACCCCCTCCCTCTAGCAAGCTCATTGGTCCCTTTCTGGAAAAGGCTCTTAGCATAAACTTACAGCTATTGAAAACCTGCTCACCCCTAGCAAAAATCTTCCGCCCATGGCGTAACGTAACAGGTCAATTGAAAAGTCCCCGGCCTAAAATAGTAAAACACATTTTTTTTTGCAAAATTCGTTTTTTTTATTCAACATAATTCCCTTCAAGGGTGATACACTGATTATAGCGATCCTCCAACTTTTCGATACCATTTTTGTAGTACGATTTGTCCTTTGCTTCAAAATAGGCCTCAGTTTCGGCGATCACCTCTTCATTCGACGAAAATTTTTNTGGATTATTTGTAATATATATTCAATTGTCTTCTGTTTTTTCCCAACTTGATGTGCTCCAGGATACTAATAAGGCAGTTCTTTAGTTATTAGTTATTATGGTGTCGACTTGAGCCCACAATCGGGGACCTAATGCACACGTACGTGTAGAACGCAAACAAAAGCAAAGAGAAAGATCAGGCAATAAATACATTGAAGTGTAGTTCTTAAGCTTCAAAATAATAAACCATATGTTTACTTTTTCATATAGTCACCCTTAAGAGTAACATTTCTTCTAACAAGTAACAAATTTTCTCATTCTGTCACTGAGAAATTCTTCCGACTTTCCTCAACCCTGGACTTGATAGTAGCCCTCACCTCATTGTCCGAGGTGTAATAATTAACTTTGAAACCTCTCTTAAGTACAAAAAAAAAATTAGAATATTAGAAGCAACCTGAAGTTTGAATCTACTCTACACTGTCTTTATTTCCCCGATCTTGCGCCCAGTGATTTTAACTTGTTTTTTTCTTTACTCAAGAAAAGCCCCAAAGGAAATCATTACAACTTGGACGTTAAGGTGAAGGCAGCTACCCACTTCTGAAAAGGCCTAAAAGATTTTTCTGACGGAATAAAAAAACTTGTTATTTGTTGGGAGAAATATGTTACTATCCAGTAACTATGTGGAAAAACAAGTATACGAAGGACTAACTGAAAATCATATGGATTTAGTTCTGGTGCCGCCATCTATGTGTCAGGCCGGGGACTTTTCAATTGACCCTAGTATTTCAAGAAATTAGTGCTACTTTATAGTTCCAAGGACGAGTTAGTGCTATTTGCGAAAGTATCATTTGCGAACAAATGAGATTTAGTGCCACTTGCGAACAGCAATAAGTAGCCGTGGGTTGACCTAGAAATTATAGTTTCATTTGCGAACAGACAGAAAGTTATTTAGCCTCTGTTATCTAGGGGTTCCATCTATTCGGAGTATATCTTTAGTAGGTACAGGTACATCTTCCTCCCGTGCTCGTTTTTTTACCGGAAACAATCCTTTCTTTACTTCAATAAGAGCCATATCCGGCTTACAAGCATGTGGTGTGACTGATATTACTTCATCACACTTGCTCTTTAACATTCCTTTGCACTGTTTTTGTTTTTCTCTAATACATAACCAAGTGATAACACCTCTGCTGTTTTCACGACACTTTCGATATTGATAACCATCGTAGACCAAGGAAGGCTTTCCTTTTGCTGTTTCGATAATTTCCATTTTCGAAAAATGTAACGTTAAGCCGTTAAGGTAACAAATCTTGACTTTACTTCTTAAAATCGCAAGGATTAATGTTATATATTTTGAAAAACCTAACTGTAAATAGGGTTACTACTATTATTATGTTATTGGTTGATAATTTATTATTACCTAGTTTTTAAAAATAAATAGCTACCTAATGATTATGATTGTTATTGTTCCGGTTCATCAATAACATGTACAGTGTATAAAACTTTTACTATTTAGAAATTTTAGACTGTTCCTGCTGTGCCTTTGAGCCATTGATAGACAGGCAGTTCCTTTAAATTTATGACGTATAGCTTTATGACAGTTGTCCCTCGATATTCGGGGCACACTGTAACGAATCTGATTAGTTTAGGATTGTAATTTTTGTATATAGCTCCAGAACCGACCTTTTTCCTTTACCTAGAATTTCATAACGCCTACCACTTTCCAATTCCTAGTCTCAACCAATAGTAGTCACCACCCCACTTACCCCTTGTATATAGATTAGCTTTAAATACTTAGACATGTAGTATATAGATAGTATTATTGATAATTCCGTTATACCAGTAAAGTATTATTGATAATTCCGTTATACCAGTAAATTATTATTGATAATTCAGTTATACCAGTCAAATATTGATTCTTTAGTTATACCAGACAATACTGATTATTCAGTAAAACCAGTAAATATTAATTCATCCTTTAAACCAGTAAAAATATATTCATCTTTATACCAGTTAATTCAGATTAAGAACCAAACATAACCAATAAACCGATAATCAAGTTTGTGTTCTTATTATTTCATCTAACTAACTACGCAAATTTAATTAGGCGCGTAGTCCGTCTAAATCAAGACGGGACATTACAGTTATTATTGTTGTTTATCGGAACATCGTTTCATTTCTATTAAAGAGACAACCGAAATAAAAAAAATGTAGTTGTTCACAAATGAACTTATAATTATTAGGAGCACCTGGATCTTAATACGAGTGTTCGCAAATACCACCAAAATCTGATTGTTCGCATCTGAAACGTTCGCAAGTAAGACGACACCTCAAGGACCTACTGTAAAAGTATAAAATTTTTCATTTGTAATCTCGTTGATCAAGATAAAGGAGTTGCAGCGGCAATATTAAGGCACTTTTACCAGTCCAAAAACAGTAAAAGGACACGTTCACCATATTATGCATTTTCGGTCGTACGACAGAAAAAGAAGAAATACTGATAATGAATTGTCTAATTTCTATGTTCGATGAACGTTTTACCTTACTAACCTGTATATGAATACATGGAGTGCATGTGCACTTTTTTCGTAAACGTTTGTTCGACAGGCAGTGCTGTTCAAAACCTCACAAATTTAGAATGTATTTAATTTCAGTGAACGGATACGTTTTAATGTAAAATAATTAGTCAATCGCAATTTAAAGAGGAAATTAAAATATTTATGGGTTTTAATGAAGGACTTTCTTTTGACTAAAATAATATTTTGAAGTGGATTATTTGTAATATATATTCAATTGTCTTCTGTTTTTTCCCAACTTGATGTGCTCCAGGATACTAATAAGGCAGTTCTTTAGTTATTAGTTATTATGGTGTCGACTTGAGCCCACAATCGGGGACCTAATGCACACGTACGTGTAGAACGCAAACAAAAGCAAAGAGAAAGATCAGGCAATAAATACATTGAAGTGTAGTTCTTAAGCTTCAAAATAATAAACCATATGTTTACTTTTTCATATAGTCACCCTTAAGAGTAACATTTCTTCTAACAAGTAACAAATTTTCTCATTCTGTCACTGAGAAATTCTTCCGACTTTCCTCAACCCTGGACTTGATAGTAGCCCTCACCTCATTGTCCGAGGTGTAATAATTAACTTTGAAACCTCTCTTAAGTACAAAAAAAAAATTAGAATATTAGAAGCAACCTGAAGTTTGAATCTACTCTACACTGTCTTTATTTCCCCGATCTTGCGCCCAGCGATTTTAACTTGTTTTTTTCTTTACTCAAGAAAGGCCCCAAAGGAAATCATTACAACTTGGACGTTAAGGTGAAGGCAGCTACCCACTTCTGAAAAG